AGCAACAGCAACAGCAACAGCAACAGCAACAGAAACAGAAACAGAAACAGAAACAGAAACAGAAACAGAAACAGAAACAGAAACAGAAACAGAAACAGAAACAGAAACAGAAACAGAAACAGAAACAAAAACAGAAACAGAAACAGAAACAGAAACAGAAACAGTAACAGAAACAGAAACAGAAATAGAAACAGCAACAGCAACCATTTTTTAAAATCCCATTACACGACCCCTACCTGACATTGGACACAACCAACTTTGGTTTAGGTGAGCCGGGAAGCAGCTTTACTCTTTTGTACTGGTGTACAGTACTGCACATTGCCACAGTCAAGTCACACACACACAAATAGAAATCAAAATTGATTTTTAAAAATGTGCGCGTTAATCTCCACAAGAAGGCACAGGATGAAAAATTAGGTATGGGTACCATTTTTAAATTGCCATAACAACACCCCTGGTGGTGGGTTCCCCAAGGGCGGGGAACTCCCCGTGTTAACATAATGGAAAACCCGACATTGTTGGACACAACCAACAACTTTGTTTTAGGTGGACCGGGACAGCGCTAAACCACTTAGCTGTAATCAAGCTCTGCTTGTAAGAAGTTTTTTGTCCTTTGTCAGAAATGGGGGGGAGTGAGTTGTTGAGTCAGTCGTCCGAGGTGAAAAAACTACTAGTAGTAAACGGAAATCAGACAGGCTTCGGGGACAAATTTGTTTTGAACCCGTGTTTTCCACGACAAAGTACGTACTCGTACTTGTAGAAGTACTACCTGTAGGAATATCGTACGATACGAAACAATAATTTTCGAGTTCCCTCTTTTGTTGCCGCGCACCGCAAAAAGAACCAATCGATGGCAACAAGTTCTGTATGGTACGTACGCAATCGTACGTAGTTACTGTACATACAGCACGCCGTGCTACGGTACGGCACGGGTCACGTTGCGTTGGTAACGGTACTACGGTACAGCAGGACCGTAGCTGTATTCTGTACCAAGTTGTACGAAGACTCACTAGCAGGCCACCATCAGTGCCCGGTAGACAACCACAAGCATCCAACCAAGCAAGCTCGAACACGAAAAGCCAGCAACAATCAAGCTGAGAATCTATTGCTTGTGGAACGACAGGAATAGACGTGAGTCAAGACGGAGTTGCAGGAATATTGCACTGTGGTAGTTGAACATCGCCATTACGCACAACGCAACTCGCAAATCAGAGCAATCAGCAAAGGAAAAAGCAACAGCAGCGACAACAACGAGAAGGATATCGAAACCGACGACGATAGACTAGACTAGACGGGCATCGGAGACGCACTCATCTAGCGAAAAGCAACGGAAAAAGAATATCGAATCGAATCGAATCGAATCGAATCGTAAACTTCAATTGATTTATCTAACATGTCGAACGCGAGGAAATTGCAGAGTACGTTTCGTGTCTCGCAGTGTTGTTCTTGCCTTTTTCGTCTCCGTTTCCTTCGCCGTAGCCGTTGTCGCAGAGTCATTGCGATCCCCCCTTGTACCGCATGACAACACGACTGCGACATTGCTAACACATTTATCGATTTTCAACACCCCAATCCAGCCGAGATCGACCGGGTCATGAAAAAGGTCGACGAGGGCGTCGAGCTCTTCGACGAAATATGGGAGAAGGTGTACTCGGCGGAGCAACAGAACCAAAAGGAAAAGTACGAGATGGACCTCAAGAAGGAGATCAAGAAACTCCAGCGGCTGCGGGACCAGATCAAGTCCTGGATCGGTTCCTCCGACGTCAAGGACAAGGAACCCCTTCTCGACGCACGCCGACTGATCGAGACGAAGATGGAAGCCTTCAAGTACTGCGAGAAGGAGACCAAAACGAAGACCTACTCGAAGGAAGGGCTGGCCAAGGCGGAGAAGCTGACGCCCGAGGAAGAAGCCAAGAAGTCGACCTGCGAATGGATCAACGACATCATCGAGAAACTCAACCAGATGGTCGAGGATCGCGACCTGGAAGTGGAGCGGCTGGCGGCAGGCAAGGGAAAGAAGACCAACAAGAACCTCATTGACGACTGCAACCACTTCCTGCAGATGCACCGCTTCCACCTCACCAAGCTGGAGGGAATTATCCGGCTGGTCAACAACGATGTTCTAAGCGTGGAGGTGGTCGATCCCATCAAGGAAGACCTGGACTACTACATCGATTCCTACGAGGACGACGACTATCAGCAGGCCTACGACGAGGATTTCTTTTACGAAGCCCTCGGGCTGGACGATTTGCAGGTCGTCAACGTCGATCGCGTCACGCAGGCCTCGGCCGAAAAGGAAAAGGCCAAGAAAAACGATCCCTACAGCGACCTGGCCTCCTCTTCCAGCAAGGGAAGCGAGAAGGGATCCAAGAAGTCGAAGAAGTCCTCTTCCACCACCATGATTCCTCTGACCATTGGCCGGGCACGCAAGGGAAAGAAATCCAAGAGCACGAGCTCGTCGAAATCCTCCTCGTCGGCAAACACTGCCGATGCCTCCGGGGACGACGATTCCACGCACGGCAACACGCCCACGAAGCGCAGGGGCGGACTCGGGGGGATTCCCACCCCGACCACCATCCCCGCGGCGTCCACCGTCTCCAACCTCGGCGGGTCTTCGATGGCCGCCATTCTCAAGAGGGAAACGGAGCAGCAGGAAAAGGAGCGGGCCCAGAAGGCGGCACAGGCCCTTGCCGCGGAGCAGCTGCGCCTCCAGCAACTCCAGGCGCAGCAACAGGCGGCGCTGCGGGCTCAGCAGCAGCAGGAGCAGCTTCGCCTCCAGCAGCAGGAAGCCCAGATGCGGATGCAGCAGGTGGAAGCGGCCGCCAAGCAGAAGGCCATGCAGGAGCAGCAGCAGGCGGCGCAGGCCGCCCAGATTCGCCAGCAACAGGAAGCGCAGATCCGCCAGCAGCAGCTCCAGAAGGCACAGCAGCAACAACAACACCAGCAGCAGCAATCCGCGGGGGGAGCCGCTGACGCCAACTCCAAGGGGGGGACGGGCTCCACGTCCTCGGTGGGCACCAGCGGGAGCCTGGATATCATCTCGGGCATTGGGGGCATGAGCCTCGGTGTGCCGACCAGCGGGGGTGGCAGCGGTGCTTCCAGCGTCGGCAGCAGGGGCTCACAGCACCGGCGGGGGGCCAGCAACCACTCCTCCGACGGGGGGTCCTCCTCCGTCAACGGTGCCGTCCTGGGCAGCATGGGCGGCGCGGCTCCCGCGGACGGAAGCGTCCTGCAGGAGTCTTACGCGACGCTGCCCTCCTCCAACGAGCACGACCGAACCACGTCGCGGACCAATGCGTACACCCCGCAGAACCCGTATGCCAACACCCCCGCCTCGTACCCGTCGACGCCGAACCCCATCTTCGAGAACCCCTCCGTCTTTGAAAAACTCGGGACCGACGCCCTCTTTTACATTTTTTATTACAAGCAGGGAACCTACCAGCAATACCTGGCGGCCCGAGAGCTCAAGAAGCAGTCGTGGCGGTTTCACAAGAAGTACATGACGTGGTTCCAGAGGCACGAGGAGCCCAAGGTGACGACGGACGAATACGAGCAGGGGACCTACGTGTACTTTGATTGGGAGACGGGCTGGTGCACCCGCATCAAGCAGGAGTTCCGCTTTGAATACTCCTTTCTGGAGGACACGCTGCAATGATGATGATTCTGTTGGTCTGATCTGGTCTGTTCTGATCTAACCGACCGCAACCGATGGAAGTGTTTGCGGATCTTTTTCTGGATGAATTTGTGCACGGATGGATGGATGGCTTTGTCAATCCGTACTTCGGCGATGAGCTCCAGCCGGATTCAATTCAGCGAAAGGGACGATAATCAAGTCAAACAAATTGCATCGAAGAGCTGGGTCAAACAAAACAATCGAATCAAGTTTGCTACACTACCTATAACATTATCGTTGTTATTTTTGTTACTTTTTTGTGTTTTATGACATAGAGGACACGGTTGAAAAGAGTGTGCCGCATTGAATTTCAACTCGAACTCGTAGTACTGCCAGCAGCTGTTCCTATACTAGAACCACAACTGCTTTTGCGACTGAACGACATTGTGCCTCTTCTCGTGGTATTGGCTTTCGAAAGGATGATTTGAATGAGGAGATGGTAACTGGAGAGAGAGGAGGGTGGGGGGAGGGCAAGATAGCCAAAGCCAAAAAATGGGACGCACGGTGATTTAGGCGAGAACGCTGGACCGATTGGCAGATACAGGACCAACTGCAAACGCAGGGATGATGACAATGACAATGACAATGACAATGACAATGACAATGACAATGACAATGACAATGACAATGACAATGATGATGATGATGATGATGATGATGATGATGATGATGATGATGATGATGATGATGATTTCATTTGTCCTTCAAAGGGCATTCTTCTTCCTTTTGAAGGAGTCTAGAATGTGTGGTGGTAACAATGGTTTCTGTCCCTAGTACTCCTGGTACTAGCAGGAATATCATAATGAAGTAAACATATTCCAGATTATTTTATTTGTAGATTTGCAATAGTGCAGCATTGGATTCTTTGATTTTTGCTGTTTATTAAACCTGGGGGGTGTCTTGATTCAACTTGATTAAGACAGATTTCAAAACCCTGATTTCTTCCAGGCACGACAATTTCTTCCAGATTTTGAAACCAACCAAAAATACCTTTGAGATCCAAATTGAATGGTTTATTCCAGTCATGACACCTTTGAGATTTGAAACTGAAGTATGTATTGCCATCACAACACCCTGGAATTAGTAACAATCAACTCTCAAAAGCTTCACCCATTCACTGGTTGAAAAAATTCCTTGACATTGAGACCCCCAATTGTCCCAATAAAGATGTATACACAGACAAAGGTGGAGAAACTCTATCATAATCTGGAAGTCCACAAATTGTTTACACAAAAAGGATATCATATTATTTGCCCTACATGTACTGACTTTTCAGCACATCAAAATGAACCAGTTGAACATGCCCATTGCACAATTCTTGAACCCATAATAACAAGTTCATGCATGTCCACTAATCCATGGAACATGTTCTTGCACCACATCAAAATGAACCAATTGAACATGCCTATTGCACAATTTCTGAACCCACAAAATGAAATTCACGCATGTAACTTTGCTTGGCACAAACATAATTCTCAGGGCACTCATCCATGGAACATGTTCTTTTACTTTTGTGTGGAATGTGTTCTCACACAACACATTTCTCAGCACAACATTGACACCCCCCATTCCTGGTGGGGTTCACATCATTTTTTGGTCATCATTTTTCCCCTTCCCAACTTCAAGGCAATAAGGAGAAAACTAACAATTATGTTGAGCATTCACAAAGATTCTATTTTAATCAGTAATATCCTGGTGGTACCCAAGCAAAACAAGATAGGGAAACAAACTGATAATTACTATTTCCTTGAGTATTCTACTATGATTTTGATACTCCTTATTCTTGAGATAAATATGATGTTGTTTCTGGAGGAGTATTCTCTTGCTTCTTGTCAGTAGCTCTGATTCAATTTGAAGAAGGATGTACCATCTTTGCCCTACTTTCTCTACAATAAAACACTTACTACTGGCCCTAAGGCAGTAAATACTGGAAACTGCTGCTAGGCTTGAGCAACTTCACCAACTACCGATGGATCATCAACCAATCCCTTCAAGTTGAAAGCAACTCTCTCTTCTTCAGTTAAGCTTGCAAGGAAGGACAGTGCTTGGTTGTTCAATCTCTTTCTCTCCGTTCCATATACAGTCTCCCTGATAGGTATCTCGTCCTCCTTCAGTTTTTGAAGCAAAGCCTCCCTCAGTATCAGTCCAACTTGCTAGAGGATGAGGGGAACTATCCTTCACTTGCATCCACATTTCCAAGATCTTCTCATTCTTTATAGGGGTTGTCTTCTGCTGAAAAAAACCTTCAGTGTGAACACTGGAAGGGACTTGGCTTCTTCCTCCTTTTAACATCTTTTCCCTTTGAACTAAAATCCTTAATCAAACCAAGAACTTTGCTGCTCAGAGCTTCTGCTGCTTTTGCAGCCTTCTTTACTAGTACCTCAAGGTGTTTACTAATCTCATTCAATTGTCCTTCCTTGGCAATAAAATAGTCTTTTGTGTTCAGTTTATCTCCCCCAGTTGAGATAAAGTGCTGGCTAGAATATTTAATCCTGCAATTTCATCTTGCTGAGCCCTGGTATTGTGTTTCAAAATCTTTGCTGTCCATTCCTACTACATTCACATTGCAATTAACCTAGCTCAATTGCTTGTCATACAATTTCCACTGAACAAATACACCTTTTGTGTTTTGAACACCATTGAAAATCAACTCCTGGATTTTCTTTTTCTCGTCTTCCATTGCATTTGATTTGAGTTGAAAATGCAGAGGCAATTGGAAACCAGCAGCACTGCTGCCTGCAACCAATGAGATTTGTGAGCTTCTTTTGTTTGCTCTGTCTGCACCACATCCATTGGCCTCATCCATTGATCCATGCACTGTAGATGGCCATCCTCTAGGCTGCATTCCATTTCCATTGAGTGTGAGGCCAGACTTGTCCAAATTGATGATGCAGCTAAGTTGACCAGGAAAAAACAAGAAGCTTGCCTTCAAGAATTTCACCATTACACTTAATTCTTGAAAATCCATTTGCAACAAGTTCTTCTTTCAGTTGGCTAAACTACATGTTAATAATATTGTAAGTATTCCAATTCAGTTGCCTTTCCTTGATTTTGTTACCATTCTTCATAACAGCAGTTAAATGCCCAGAAAATGTTGGTAACAAGCATCTGTACAGGTTTATGTAATCCGTTAATAAACAGGGGCCAGACACTAGATAAGTTTTGAGCATTCCAAAATAACCTTTACCACAAGGATGTTTTTATTTTCCTCATTAGCTAAAGCAACATTGCATCTCCAAGTGCAACTACAATAGGTTGCAGAATGCAAGCAAACTTTTTTCCCTTTGCTCCTTTAAATGTTGCCGCACTGTGTTTGCCTTCAGCAGTGTATTGTACAGCAGATTAACTTGAGATACAACAATACTGATAACAGATGACTGGCAATTTAGTGGCAAATTTTCTTGCTTGTACCTGACTTTCTTTGCAATAGTGTTGTACGCATCATTGTCATGAGCACGTTTCTGCAAGAGGAACTTGTTCACTGTCTTGATATGAGCTTGCTTGTTTAGGAGTATCTGGACTCTCTTTTAGAAGGACTGGTGCAAGGGCTCCCTTCTTCAGACTGCTGTCATCCTTGGTCTTTGCTGGTACCACAGCTGCTAGTGCTGTTTGATTGGTGTTTTTAGTGAGAACTGATATTTTTGCTTCCAACTCCTCCAACTTCAGACCCAATAGTACGAGGATAGGAAGTTCTTCAAGAAGTTCTTCCAAGTTCATCAATGTCACTTCCTTAGAGGAGGTCAAAGCTGATAATTCTGGTTGCTTCTTTGAGGACATAGAACACTCAAGATCATTGGAGGGGCCCTTCACCATCTTTTCCATGCACCTTTGTACTCTTCTTTGTAATGTTTTGTTATTTGCTTGCCTCTTCTTCAGTGAACTGAGCAAATAATATTGCTCTCTTCACAGAACACTGGAGGCCTCTGGACCTTGAACCAAGCAATTTCTCAACAGCAAATGTTGTTCTTCTGCACACCATAACAGTGTGTCCTGTTGTTACTGATCCAACTGCAACTGTCTCCCTTACTGCTAGTACTGGTGCCCACTTCTTCATTGTTGTTGTTGTTCATGGTCAAAATGTAGCCAAAAACTGTTTTTTTTTCAAAATACTTGGTTGATTGATCCAAAACTTCTTTATCCCCTTTCCCTTGTTGTTATAGTGAATTGATCCAGCACACTGGTTGTCTCAATAATGGAGGTGAAGATGGTCTTTTTAAAGGACAATGCAGTTAAGCTTCTTTCTTTGAGATTTTTGCCAATTTTGCTGCTGGTTGAATACAGGAGCTAAAAGAAGCTTCTACACCCTAGGGCTGTGAGCCTAAATCACGAGTAGATAGTGAATAAGCTCACTCTTTATTGTAAACAACCAATATTCACAAGGGAAATTTATCCACAACTTCCAGACCCTTTTGCCCTTAATTAATGATTTGAAAACTTGTCTTGTGAGCACAATGGGTTGGGTATTGACGAAGAACTGGAGGACTGTCCTCAGCTTGCTCTGTTGGAGCTCTTGGTGATTAAATGAGACTTTTTTTCTAATTTTTGTGATTTAAGAAATTGACAATCCCAAAAAGGTTCTCTGAAAAAAACCTGCAATGTACACATGTAGTATGGAAAGAAGAAAGAATGCCCTTTCCAATTAATGGTTTCTCAAACTCTGGTTGGTGCTTTGCTAGTAGTAGTATTAACAAGAACGCAAAGTTAGCTCAAAACTGGCGTTTTATTGTACTCATAACCTGTTAGAAATCAAAATTTTTATTTCGCACCCAAACTCGTACCATACCAGAAAGTCTACCAACATGCTGCGCAACCAGAATATTTTTCGAAATTATCCAAGCTCCCTCTGAAGAACGGTATCATGTTCTGTAGAGAAGTAGAAGAAGTACTGTATTACGAAGTACTAGTGCTTACCGTACAAATTGCATTGGAGTAACGTGTCTGACAGCATAATATAGTCCATACCGAACGTTCCTGGATCTTACAGGAATGAAATTCTTAGGGCCTACTATATAGTAATCCTGAATCTTAAATAAACTAAACCATTATTTAACGTCTTTTTCACTCAATTGTGGTTGCCGCCATTTCATTGGATTTTTTGTTCTGTATCCGGGTACGCGTACCACTGGACCCTGCTGGTTTTCGAAATTGAAGCTGCGCGCTCGCGAAAAAGAATCTGTAATACATACTTAGCCAGTACGTGCGGTACGTAACGGTCAAATACAGAACCTGCTGTTATTTCGGAAGACGAGGAGAAGACCGTTTGCCTAAAATCTTCTGTATTCCCCTTGGAACTAGAATAGAATCTTCCCGACTTCACTATCCTCACATCTGTACTTCCGTAAAATGTGGCCCAGAGTCATTAAAATACCTAGCCGTTGTTCATAAAGAATTCCTCCCGGGGTTGGTATGTACCGCACGTCTTGACACGAAATGTGTCAGAGTTCGTTGTCATTGGCGATCGCATGCATATCGTAGCTATTACGGATATTGTACTCGTACTCATACTCGTACCGTAGGGCAGGACAATTTGAATTAAGTTAGATGTCGTCCCCGCGACTATCATGCTACCGTACGGTATCGCACGAGTATGCGCTACAACTTGAACTGTTTTGATCTCGTCCTCTCCGGGAACACCATTTGAAACTTTTGGATCTCCTCCCCGTGTGGACACAAATTGTTGATTTCCCAACCACAAAAGCTCCAAACCAAGCCAAGCCAAGCCAAGCAGGACAACTCAAACACCACCAATCGAACGATGTTTTTCCAACACAAGACCCTCGCTGCCTTCCTCCTCCTCTCCTCCTCTCCCTTTGCAGATGCTCAGTGCTACGAGTCCAGCGTTTGCCTAGACGTCATGGGAAAACCCGGTGAGTGCACCTCATCGGAGGGCCGAACCTTCCCGATCTGCTGCCCCGACGATGCCACCCAAACCTGGAACCCCACCGATGTGTGCACGATGGGCGGCGACCCCACTCCCACCGATGCCGGGGAGGCGGCTCCCACCGGGGAAGCGGAAGCGCCCGAGAAGCTTTGCTACGAAATAGGAACCGCTATATGCTGGGAGCTCGGAGTCAAAATGAGCTCGTGCGTGACCGGCGACGGGAGAGAGTTCAATGCCTGCTGCCCCAAGGACGTCACCGAATCCTCCACATGGAATTCAACCTGCATCTACGGAGACGGAGGCCACGAAAAATCCGCTGCACACGCCCGTTCTCTCGAGACCGTGGTCGCCCTTGGTCTTGCCGTCGCCACCACCGCCGTGGCGTTTGCCGGTTTCTGAGCAAGCGAGGTTTGTCGGTTGCTTTGATCGACACCGGCATTGGCATCCAGCGACCGCCGGGCAATCGGATAATCCCGTGATTATGAAGATCCTTACTTTTGGCCACCAATGATTTCTGCTAGTTTTCTTCCTTGTTGCTACTTCTTCCAGTGGTTGTAGGGCCTGCATTTCCTGCTGCATTCATAACATTACTAGTAGTGACACGTTGGTCGTAAATGGTAGTATACTCCAGTTTAAGAAAATTTGCAGTGTCCTTCTCTACACTTAATACTAGTAGTACAAAATATCCAGCCAATAATGACAGACAAATTGATGCCAAGTGCCATCTTTGCGAATGAAATTATAGGAGTGTGTGCAGCAACTTGATGACAGTCAAGCTCTCCGGTACAGAAGATGTTAAGTATTGAATCATCCTTGCATAATATTATATGACTTGCAATCCCAAATCCGCTTATTTTTCTGGCAAGGTGGAGGAGAAATTGCCCCTCACTAAACGACTTCTTCCTTTAGGAAAATGCGAAAAATAGTTCCAGAGCTGCCAGGAGAAGAAACGTGGCAGAAAATCGGCGATGGGATACCACAAACGAATGCCCAATGCCCAGATTACTGCTACTAGTAGTATTGCCCTCTTCTGTGGGAGCCTGCGTATAGTTTTCGTGGGGACAGTATCGCAACCGAAAATCACTCCCGACGTATTCCTTCGCGATACAAGCCTCCTCAAAGTTTATGTCCCAGATTCCTCTCAACAAGCCAAGTGTACCAGACGTCGATAGGGAGCACATGCTCGTGGGATCCCAATCAAAAGGATATTTGTTGTCCGCGCAGCGGTCTTTGTTACCGTAGACACAAACATTTGCCACCCCGGACCCCGGGGAAGGTTTTGGAAGCAGGCACATCGAATGCGCGTCMATGTTAATTTGCATGACGTACATGTTGTCGTTTGTGCGGTTCCCGCTTTCGAGAGCATCTGCGAGACCTGGGTAGGCGTCGATCCAAGCTTGGTTGAGGGTTCCCGTGGCAGACCAACAGACCACCGGCAGATCCGGGTTCAATATTCCGACCGTCTTGGCAATGTCGCACCCCATTTTGTGCCCGGTCAAAAACGTGGGCTTTGTCTCCTCGACCAGCGCACGAATTTGCGCCTCCCACTCGGGCATGTCCGGCACGACGTATCCGTTTTCGAGGCAAAGGTGCTGCCACGCCGGTTCGGCCTCCGTGTTCTTAAATTGATACGCGGCCGCGAGGCATGTCGATTCTGGCATCGCTGTCTCCTCGGGTTCTACACCCGACCCCCACAGCATTGCTCCTGCGAACGACAGGACCCGCTGCGGATTCTCGGGGTTGCGGTGTCCGTTGGTGAAGAGCACCGCTTGGACGAGGGATCCGTTAACCCCCTGGTTCACGGGTGTGACGACTTCGGATTTCCAGAACGTCGGCATCGATTCACAATAGCCGGGACGAGCGCATCCGGTATCCGAATCCCGGGGATTGTCGGGAAAGTAAGTACCCGTAAACATTGTGGCCAGAGATTCCAGACGGAGGTCGTACGCCTCGAGGAGATCCAAAAGGTTGGATCCCACCTCCTCCGACGAGATGGTCACGTTGCCATCGTCCGAAAGCAACGATGACCACTCGTCGTTGCTGTTGTTGTAATCCATGACGTCATTTATATCCAATATTTCGTCGGCGACGACTCCAACTCCATTGCGGTCATCGTCAGCAGCGCCATCGGCGGTGATGGTGAGAGTGAGATCGTTCTCCGCATCCACGAGAATCGTGTCACATACCAAAACTATTACTGCAAAAAAGGCTGCGCAAAGGTTCATGGTTACTATGGTATTTTGAGGTAGGTGCCAAGAGTGTGCGACCTTCCCTCTAGCGGTCTTCTTCAATGAAGAACCAAATAGCGCTGCACATCGTCTTTCAACTACCTGCCGAATTTTACCGTAGTATGTACCGGCAAATTTTCGGATATTTAAGGTTTGAATGCAACCCATAGTTCATGTTCAGACCGGTGAGGTGTCTCGTCGTCGAAGCATTCCCCTCCCTCAAAGACACTCATGACTGGCTCGCGAACGCAAATACTTACGACGGTGCAAAAACTAATTTAATGCTATTAAGGTTGAAGTTATGCTCTGAAAAGAATGTAGTACTAGCTAGAAGGTTTTCAACAAAAGCACTGTGGCTGTTTGCTGTTTCTGAAACTGAAATAGGAATGGAAATCATTGATTTGTTGTATATGCTGGTTATTGTTTTTGTTGTTGTTGTTTTTTGTAAGTAGGAAAGGTGTTCTAACAAACAGACCATTGGAAGAAGTTTTAACTCTTCTTGTTGCTGAAAGAAGAAGCACACCAAGAACATACTAATCCAAGTGATTGTGTAAGACCAAGAAGTTGAAACCAACACTTTTTCCAAAGATCTTCCCTGTAATTTGTGAACAGTTCTTGCATTAGCAATATTGATTGGAAATTGAGTTAATCGAATTCCTTCTTGGCCTGCACAAAAAAATTGCAACATGAGACTTAAGAAATGGAATGCATTTGTTTTGAACTGTATTGGAATCCAAAACAAATTCCTCAACTGTCTCTCTCTCAAGACAATGAAGACCACAACATTCAAAGTCATGAGAAAAGTGGAGACAAGACCCATTATTTTGAAGGGGATAGCTTGACATGGGACCAGAAGCAAACAATGTTTGACTTTGTGCTTAAAGTGACAGCTCCCATCAAAGCATGAACTCCTTGTTCCCAAATTGCAACATCACAATCATTGTCTTCCTCCCTGTTGTAAACTTCTTGTTTAACATATGTTTCCCTGCACTAGCATACACTTCAGTGTCTTCTTTGTTGTTGGGTGACTTTGAAATTCAACAGGTCATATTTTATCAAGTTTTGGGAATGGGACTCTCTTTCACCATGGAAAAATAACCAGTTTGATTTTAGAATTACAAATCATGACAATGACTCCTCATTGCTGGTGTAGTAATTGGCCCATTTGCTGGTGTCTAAATGTCTATTTTAATTGTCCTGGGTACCATGACCTCTGGTCTGGGGTTCAAGAAGTGTGGCTTTGACTTCTGCAGCTAGGCCTTGGCAATTCAGTCTCACGCAACCACATTGTAGTGATCCCATCCAACCTCCTCTTTCCAGGACAAATGCATTGGCATTTTCCCAACACAACCATTGTAATTTGCTACAGTTTCCTTGCACCTACTCAATGAAGTCAAGATTTCTCTGGGATGCCTGGCTTAGGGACAAAAAGAGGCCAAGTTCTATGTGTTGGAGCACCTAGCCAACTTGATTGGATAATCTTGCTCTTTGCCAACACAAATCACATGCTGCTTCTTGGAGAGATCAATCCTGGTTCCTTCCCTTGCTTGTCCAAAAGGTCACCAAGAAGCAGTGTCATTGTCCTTCCCAGCAACCTGGAACATGTCAACTATGTCTGATTTTTAACTTCTATGATTCGAACTGAACAATTCGAACTGAACAAGCCAAAACCCCATATGAAATGATGAATGAGCCATTGCCATTGCCATTGCCATTGCCATTGCCATTGCCATTGCCATTGCCATTGCCATTGCCATTGCCATTGCCATTGCCATTGCCATTGCCAT